AATACCATATGTTAGTATTCTAAGAGACATTCAAGTTTCTGAACAAAACTCTGCAGATAATTTACTATGTTATAATATTTCGATTTTCTTTGATTCCAAAGAAGTTGTGTATCATAGGACTTTAAAGTAGATTCAATAAATATCTTTCGCGACGATGACGCTCGACGAATTTCAATATTCGAGATCTTCACATCATTGAAGAGCATCTCGAGTCTCTCGACAGACACTCGAACTATACCCGTTTTTCTATAGTATCTTCCCTAAAGAGACTCTGTTTCATCTTTCATCTTCGTGTTTCGAATATCCACAATACGTCATCCAGCGCCATCCTCCAGTCGACTTTATTCTCTTTGTAGCGATACAAAGTAGATCACCCTTTCTCCTCTTTTGTTCACGGCGAACAATTTTGTGTCGAGATTCTTTCCCGTCTCGTGAAAACTCTCTTGAGTTAAATCCTTCAGACGAGCGTTTACTTTTTGTTAATCTTCTTCGGACACGGCTTTCGCGACAGATTTTATCCCTTGTAGCAATGGTCACAACTTTGTGAATTTTCTATAGAAAATAACGTGGTCGAATTTGTTGGGCATTGACATTTTCTGTAGTCGCTTTTCTGTCGCGAAACTCTTCCGGGAAATCTTACCTCAGGATTTCTAATAATTCCCTTGTCCGATGGAAAAAGCCTGTCGAAAGCACAGTGCCGATAAAATACTGACGCTGAGCAAAATCTCGTCGCGATTTGCGAACGTGCACTCCCACGGGAATCGTCGAATGCCGATGCAGATCGAATTTCCGCGTCGAGCATCATCGAATCTGGAATCGTTCTGTACGTTTACCGGTGCAGCTTTCTTGCTAATGAATTTCATTCAGAATGTTTCTAACTGAATCCGACATACTAGAACAAAGTAAACATCAGAGCCAAATTAATTGCTAAACACTCCGAAGAAATGAAATATTTGCTCGGCGAATACTGAAACTTTCTTTCACCCGTGCGGTGGGTTTGCAATCTGCCAGGCGTTAAATATCGTATTTCTACGGTAAAACTCGATTTTATTAAACTCTGCTCTTTAAATATATTTAATCTCAAATATAGTCAAGTAGTCAAATAGTCAAATATTAACACTTTGTGGACGTAATATAAAATGATCTAATTAGGTACACTTATGTCTGTTTAATATGTAGTATTATATATTAATTCTGTCATTTTAAATTTACGTTATATTATACATTTACCAACTTCAAACAGGGAATTTAGAATGCAGAGACAGGTCTAAAAATTTAGGTCTACAGTGGTGTATACACAAGCGCGTTTCGCTTTTGCAGTGTGGGTAATTTGGAGAGATTGGGCTACACTGCACCAACTTTGCAGCTTCCTGTGTAAATACACTCCACTTTATTGTTCCAGCAGGGGTGCTTCATTCATTTCCATGGTATTAAAAGGCCGAAATCCCTTTTATATGCTGTGTATTGCCATGACTAACTCGGGGAAAAGGGCTTGATGCCAATTACATAAACTCGCCCTCTTTTTTCCAGCTTTATTCTCCGGCTGTCCTTCTCTGGTACACGCATTGCTCTCCACTTATCCCTTTCTGTTCGTTCTTTCTCTTTTTCCTTGATGAGCATTCGTGACTCTCGCCGCAAATGAGCCACTCCAGTTATGAGAGATTACCATAAGCCTTAGGGTGTTCGGTAGCTAACTTCCTGTCCTCCTCTGTTTTTTTTTCTGTCTCTCATTACCAGGGTCGTACGGAAGACTGCTGAGGCTGCTGAGATCGCGGGATTCTGAAAAAATCCGAGAAAGAAAATGGAACGACTCGTGACATTCGGTCCACACGCACTAATTAAGCAACGACTTCCCCCGTGGCATTCAGCTTGGATTCCGTTATGTTCGACGCAATAAACCACAAAACCAATTGTTTTTGCGTTAGCATTGTTTTTTTCTCCTCTCCTTTCTCCTACAAACCTGATAATTCACTCGTTAATTAATCTCACGGTTCATTGATCGACATGTAATCTGTTCTTTAATTTTATTCTTAATCTGCATTAATCCTTTCAGACTTGATTTTCTACGATTAAAAAAAGTACAAGCATATTGTTTGCCCCGGCAAGTGGATTATTTTCTCTCTGAATAGGTTATCGTAAGTGGTTATTTAAGCATATTGTTTTATTTCTTTAAAATGTTATATCATAAATGTGTGCAAAGAACAGGTGAACCTGAGATTTTGAAGCAGCTTATCGACAGAGTTTACTGTTCAACCGTAATGCCTAGATGTCTCTTACAGTTTCAATCTCCGTGCTAATTCGAATATCACTGCATCACGATTTAATAGACTAATTTAAATTCGAAGCAGTGCACAACGTTAGCCAAGGTCATACCAGGCACGCAAGAAGCAAATGCATTTTTATTAACACGCTTTTATACAGTGAAATACTGCGATAGTACCTTCATTGCAATTATAATAAAATATACACCTTTGACCTACTTCTCAAGAGATTACATATGAAATAGACGATAATTCTGGATCAAGAGTTCGGAGGAAATTTCGTGATCGGAAAAGTAGCAGAGACAGCCCTGACGATTGACCAATCAATTTTCGGTCGGCCAGTTTACAGGATGTAAGTTCGAGCCACTTCTATGTAATTTCCGGTTTGGCCAGAGGGAAATTTGCTTGGGTATCGACTCAAAGGCTCGTACAAAGGAGCGTTACGGAAACGTTAGGGAGGGCTTCGATGCATCGACGCGATTTCGGCGATGCTCGTTCGCCAAAGCAAAGAGAAGCCCGTTAGAGAAATGCAAATTGCAGCCAGCCAGACAGCATTAAACGTTGCCATTGTTTGGCGACTCGGTGGCACGGTTGCATACGACAACACGCGAAACACACCACCAGAATTGCCTCCCTGAAAATTCTAAAGATTTCGCTTAAGTTTCCAGGTCATACGGCTTCGAGCTTCGCAAGAAGTAAGAAAAAGGTCGGTATGAATGCGCTGACCGCTTTCAACTATAAGTGTATTTATTTTCCAAGAGCAATCAGAAGCGGTTCAAGCGGCGACTTTTAGCTTCTGACTTTCGCAAACGTTTGCTTTGAAGAAAACAGAGAGGATTAAAACAAATCGCGATAAACCTTAGATAATTCTTGCAAAATTTATACCGTGGCTACTCCTTTGCGGGTTAATAAGATTAAAAACAATTTCGCTAGTAAACACGAACGAGGTCAACGAGAAAATATTCTTATCTTAAATTGGCGATTTTTTAGATTTCTGAACTTGTTGAAGCAGCGACATTTCTACGCCCTTTAAAATGAAATTGCGATTTACGAAAACGTCTTACCCTTTCTACAGCGAAAGCTCTTTTAAGGTCTGTGAAAAGAAGTCGAGAGAATCGAAAGGGATCGAGTATGGTTTTTGTCGAAGAGGAATTCCATGACTTTCAAGAGATTAAGTTTAAATGAGGTTCTCTTTGCTTCGCGTATTTCGAATCGCGTTGCGTTTCTTCGTTGAACGTAAGATAGCGATAATAGACATTTTTCTCCAATTATGGGCCTCGTTGAAAGGGAAAGGAGTTTCCTCGAATGCAGAGAAATATGCCTACATTCTTACTGCCGAAACGAGTCATCGGTTTCTCTAAAGTGTTGCAACGCCCCAATCTTGACGAAACCTTGAATAGACATAATCTATTCGCAATGTTTACCTTTATGTCAATTTTTGTACGGTCTCGTGCTTTATATTGCCACGTGTTGTATCGCAACACACTACTCGCTGTAATTCGCTCTAATTCTATGGTTAATAATTTCGTGCTGTAATTCCACCCGTTATATCACCGCGGGTTATATTTCCACGCGCTGCAATTCCACCTGTTGTATCTCCATATCTTATATCGCCGCGCCTTATAATTTCACGCGTCGTCGTTCCACGCACTGTAATTGTGCGCGTTGTAACTCTACGCTCTGTAATTTCACACGTTGTAATTTTAAAGATTACATTTCTACGGATTATAAACTCGAAACTGTATCAAACCCCAAAAGTTACAAGTATTCGTGAAATCGGGTTCCATGAGAGTTACCCTCGCACCCTTATAAGAGAACCCTAGCAAAGTCAAAGGTCTAGGGAGAAACATGAAGCAGTAATTTAGAGCTTCCTCTCAAACACCTTCGTAGATTAAAGGAAACCTAAGTTGCAACCATACAGATCGTTTTCAAAATAGTAATTTTAAATATTGAAACTTCGATATGATACTGCACGAGTCAATCCGTGATACGGAAGAACATGTCCAAACAAAGTAATGTACAGGTAGCTCTTTCGAAATTCGTGTAAACTGGGTATCATTACGACTATGCCCGAAGCGGTATCTTCGTATCTACCTCAACTTCCCCCATCCTCGAATCAGCGGCACGACCTCGCACGATCGGCCTGGCACGAAACGGCGTCGCCGGAGGAACGAACGTCTTTTGTACGGTTAGTACGTACCGGGTAACAGAGAAGGAAATACGAGATAGAACGAGAGGGAAAACGAGAGGCATGCGGCAGAGAATGCGAGTACTTTCGTACAGAGTCGACCACTTTTTATTCGAAATAATGAATAAAAAACTTGTGGGGTCATGACCTCGTGCTACGAACGAGAATCTGAGTATTCTCTTTACTTTTTATACAGCATTATCCAAAAGGAAATTAAACGAATTGTTGTCGTAAAAATATGCAGCTGAAAATGAGAGAGCGATGTCGTCGCTTTGAAGTTCAGTTTCATGGAATAATTAATACATAGATGACAGGTAGGTTTGATTCTGTGCAAGGTAGTGCTCCGATTCGGTTGAGCGTAACCGATCATCGCTTGAGAAATTTTACGATCGGACTAATAAAAGTTTAGTAATTAGAGTTTTAGATTTTTAATCGAGAAAAAGAGATCGATGGTGTTTTACGCAAGATCAAATAATAATTGGAATAAAAATTTCTTTGGATAACGCCCAGAAGAGTTGAGGCGAGGACGATCGTGCAGGTTCGTGCAGATCCGGTGAGGTTCGGCTCGGCACTCTCCGTGCGTGCAGCGAAGTTCATGCCGGCGGCCGAGCGATGACGTCAGCAAGCAAGAGGCCCGTCCACGGCCAGCTCGGTAAAGCGTACGAGAGCTCTTGACGTTTCGTCTGTTCGCGTGTACGCTCGGATTATTTTTCGGTGGTTCGTTCGATTTGCGGCCGGCAGTGTTCGATCGGTATCCGCGGGTAACGCGCGTGCACCACCACGTGGCGGGAAAAACGTTTGGTCGTTTCGACGCCACGCGTTCCTTCTGCGAGTGCAATCGTGGATCGAAGAGCGAGAGAGAAAGCGACCGAGAGGCGGAGGAGGAGGCGTCCGTGGCGACCTAACCTCCCAACCGGTGCGTCGCTGATTTTAATCGGCGTTATAGCATGGCCGTGTAACCGTGTCACGCGAACCTGCACGAAGTATCACGGAAACCAACTCGTCCGGGAAACGCCGCAACGTCTGGTGTTCGACGTTTGACAACGCGCCGATAAACTTCCTTAGAGCGTAGTTTCTAACCTCTCTCTAGTGGTTCGCGCCACCGGCTGTCCTCTTTCGAGTTACCAGCGAAAACCTGTGGAAGGGTCGATGAGACGGTAAACAAAGGAAAAGAAGAGAAGTGCAATCTGTTTATACGAGCCCGAAGAAACTGTCGTGTACATATTGACGTTCGCGTTCACGTCGCCGTTTGTCCTTTGTTTCTTTGTACGTGTTGGCACGGGGAAAATATATCGTGGCCCGATTGGCGGTAGAAATTCGTTCCCGAGCGTAGACGGACAAGAGAGGAGCAACCTGTTTTATGACTGTGTGAGTGGCGTCTGTGTCTCTCATGGAATGCGAGAATCGTGTACGTCCAGGCATCTTGATACCAGGGGGTGATTTTCAACTAACGCCGAATAACAGTGCAGTGCTGCTACTAGTGTAGGCATATGCTCCGTTCCGTTATCGTCTAAATGTGCCTGCTGTGAATCAGTGATCTTCTTCCCGAGGTAAAGTGACGTTTTTCTACGTTGATACCGTGAATATTGTCCACTATTTTTTTTGCTGGACAGTGTGGAAGGAACACGTGGCATTTAGGATGTCGTATAGGAATCCTTTTCAATCGTGCTACTCGCGTAACGGTAAACGAATTTGTAGAAAGTCTATGTAACGTTTCTTGTCATCACAGTGGCGCGCTGACGGTACGAAGGACCAGGTATTATAGTAAAGGAAGTGGTATTACTCCCTCCTTTCTTTTTATGCAATCTTATTTTTTATTATAACTGGAGACTGGTTTCTTCTTCTTTTCTTTCGAAAACTATTTCCAGCTAAAGCTTAAGTTTGTTAGGTTGAGGTTAGATTATATTACGTTGAGACTCCTGTCAGGTTAGGTTAGACGTAGGTCATGTTAGAGTGGGTTCTACTCAGGTTAGATTGTGTTATGGTAGGTTTCAAGTAAGTTACATCTACTTAAGTTAGGTTATAGTTAGGTTAGGTTAGATCTCATATTAAGCTAGATTAGTTTATCATCTACATTAAATTGAGTTAGGTTATGTCATATATGCTGCTCTCTTTATGTCTCAAAAATATGAGTACTAATTTGTAAAGAGAGGGGCACGACATCATTCGCTCTGTTTTTTTCGTAAACATTCGGTTTTATGATCGAATTATTCAGACTTAAAAATAGAAAGGTTGCATCGTGCAGGTACACCAGGGACAAAGATTAGCGTGTTCGTGCGCTTAGCGTATGTCCCACGTGGAAATCGGAGTATGTATTCACAATTGTGAATTTCCTTATCCGCGTCGTCATTCGTCGTGGTACGCTGCACAGGAGTACGCTTCGCGGGCACTAGAGCGAGACGAACGGACAACCTGTTTAAGATATGAACGTAGCTGTAGTACGTACGTGCACACGCATACGCTTCCAGCGTTCTGGGCTACGTAAGAGGAGAAGCTTGTGTACAGTTTTCGTGGGAGCGTAGAATCGGTTTTTACCTGTTGTTCGGGAAAAAGAAATACGCGTCGCGTATCGACGGATATCAAGTTGGACGAGGCTCGTGTGCCACTTTGAGGTTCCATACTTTCACTGATCGATCGCCCAGGGCATACAGTTCACCGATCGAACCGAAGAGTGCATTCTCTTTACTGAACATCTACTAACCTTTGTTCGTACTTTGCTTTTTCGTGTACAGTTCCCGATCGCGTGATCGCTACCGCTTTGGAGTTGTACAAACTGCGTTCTTCTTATCGTTTCTTTCACGAACGAGGATCGAATTCGATCGATTCCGTTTGGCGCGCGATTTGAACGAGTCCACCCGCGCTCACTGTTCGAAACTTTAATTTTCGTGTAATTCGTTGTAGTTATAGATACACGGTAATGAAAAATATTCAGGTTTGTTATGAAAGACGATTTTACTAGTTTTCGAGACTCAAATTTTTATACACGGGTGATAGGTTCATAGTGTTTTCTTCAAAACATTTGGCGCGAGATTTGAATGTATTAGTTCACTGTTTGGACTAATATTGAATTAATAGTTAGAACTAATAGTTCGTTCTTAATAACAAGGCAGTGCGGTAGTTAAAAAGAGTTTTGAGTCATAGAAGAGACATGCAAGTTTACAAATTATAGGCTTCGAAACAATTAGCGTTCAATTTGAATAAATTACTCGTATTTGTCGTTTCAATCTGCAATTTCTAAATAATTCACTTCGATCCTAGTAGGAAAAGTTTTGCATGTTCTCGCATGTTTATACCTTTCGATTGATCGACAGTGCCGACTTGGCGCGCAATTTAAACGGTTTAATTCGTGTTCCTTGTAAAAACTGTCGAACAAATGTTAATAGTAAAACAAACAGTTTTATTTCATTAGCAAGAAAGATCTCGCGAGTTTTCAAGTCCCACGTGTTTACATATATCGAACGAGTGATCGACACCAGTGATTATGTATTACATAATGTTGAGCAGTAGCACGTGACGGTGAGCAAAGAGGAATAATTTCCTCCGTTATTTGCTAAGCGATTCGGGTTAACCGACCTAAGTGGGACAGGCCGATGTCCCTGGTTTTTTATCAATTAGGTTGCACTTGCGTGAGATATAAACGCGTGGCACGGGCCCGTAAGAAATAGGCCGCCGGGGAAGTATAATACGACTCGGTGTCACCGTAATCACGACTCAGAAATCTGTCGTATATTTGACGCATATAAAATTACCGGTCTATGCAATGGGTCTCGTGTTTCCTCGTTAGATTGAGTTCAAGCGGTCGAGGCACATTCACGTTGCAACAGTACATTAAACTCTCGTGCAAAAGCTTCGCGGTGGAAAAGGCACGGTACTGTCGACGCCTAGTCGATCTCTAATTATAGATTCTGTTTTACATTTGCCACGATTCTTCTGCGAAAATTCGACGTTTGGAACTGTGTCAGGTAAATAGAGACTTTCGAACAGCTTCTCGTTTGTCGTACGAAGTTAGGTAAATATAACTTCAGGAGAAATTTGAAATTTAAAATCTTTTCTTAGGAAAATTAAAAATCAGGATTCTTCTGCGACAGATGAGTAAATCATAGGAAAATTTTGTCACGATTCCTTCCACACGAGTCGTGTTCGATTTGAAAATCTTTGTCGTTCTGGTGAAGTGCGTCTTCGCGAGTTCCGTGAGAAAAGTATGTGGCGCAGTGGTGTCTGAGCGTCCGGATTAATTGGATTAATTTACATCGAGAATCTATCGGACGAGAGAAGGATGACCACCAGGAGAAAGAAGAAGTCGCAGGACGGGTTCCTGAAGAAGGTCTCCAGCCTGTTCAACCTAGACTCGGTGAGTCAACTCTAGATCACAGTGTCACGAATTTCGTGTCACTTCTCGCCAGCTATTCTATTCTAGACGGTTTTCTGAGCATCGGAAGGCGGTCGGTGGCTTTGTGGTCATCGCCTACGACTCTTTCGTGTACCGTTTGAAAGCGTTCTAGCGTAGGATGTTGTAAAAAAAGGAACGTTCACTGTTTCGTTTCTTTCTCGGGATGTACGTTCCCACGTACTTTTAAACCTTATGAAATGATTATTTCGTAGGACTATTAAAATATAAAATTAATTTTGATAACATGTTTGACATACAGGTACACTTGTACTTAACAAAATTCCTGTTTACAAAATTTAAACAAAAAAAAAATGAAGTAGAATGGCTAAAAAATTTCAGTTTTATCGCTACAAATTGTACACATTTTGCCTCTACACATAATAGTTGAATTAATTAGTAATTGGATACTTGTGATTCTGTCGTGTTAGAATTCCACGTTGTCGAGATTATAAATTCAATTACGTATGCAAAGGATCACGTGTTACCGTAATATCGCAAAGGAGAAGTGCATAAAATTATACGCATCGAGAGCGTAACAACGATTGCAATTTTGAATCAGAACAATTTATGAGAGTTATGTAGTGAGCTTCCCAGATGAAAACACTCAGCACTTTGTTATAAATGGTATACCATGAAATTGAGCTTTACTGCGTTTAACCAGCTAGATGTTTTTTTGCTCATTAATTATATAAGACATCACTAATATGACATACCGATGATACAAGAATGATAATGTGTATCACAGTGATCATTAAGTTTAACTAGAAACAGGAATTTAGAAATATACGTCTCAGCATGTTCATTTTTACAAAGTACATATTGATTTCATTGAAATAGAAATCAAGTCGTACAATGTTTAGCTACTATGTATGACAGTATCACGTTTTCTAATAACGAGTATCATATTCAGGAAGTCTAGTTTGCTTCGACAAACTGGAAACGAAAAAGAGTTACCGCAGGCGGAAGATTGCAAAATTTAAAAGGTGCAGGGAAAAATATCGCAGCATTTTTCTCCTTGATTTCTCGAACGTTTCATACGATAAGGAAACGTGGAATAACTTCTAAAGGCCCTTACCGTTTGATAAAGTAGGAAGAAACGAGGGGCTGAGAAACCGTGGAACTGCAATCGTTGCAGTCGGACATTTTTATTCAAGGAATTCAATCTTTTGCTACAAATTTACAATTTACCTAAATTTATTTTGAATCATAATCACTGTGGTCGTCAGAGTTTGAAATGACTGCTTTGTTCAATTTGTGATAACAAATTTCCTTGCATAGATTCATGATAGCGGAATTTCCGTATAAATCGCCCTCTCGCGGACAGGTGAGTCCGATTAAAATCCAGCACAGTCAATGTTTGTTTTCCCTCGCCAAATCAGCGGCGTGTTAGTCAGCTTTATCGAGCGTTGTAAGCATGTAGTTTACATTGGCACCTGGTTTTCGCTGGTCCTAAGTCAACCTGGACACCGGTGGCCCGAGCTAAGCTTCTCCACAGTATACACGGTCTGCGAAATGGCAGGCGCCAAAACAATTTTGTGGCGAGATTTTCCGTTACGAAGGTGACCTCGGACCCAATGTTTATAGTCTTGCGTTAGTTAAACGTGCAAGCAAAGCCTCTACGTTCCTACACGTATAATTCACTGCACGCTGCAACGTGTATATCGAATGCTTGCTACATTGCCGTGTACCGTGAGCTTCTCTAGGGAATATGCTAATTTCGCGAAGGGAGTTTAACGGGTCGTTGCATTTTGTTGGCAAATTTCCAGAGATAGTTACGGATTTTCAATTTGTGCAGTTCTGCATAATTTAGGGGCTGAAATTTCATTTTGGTGATTGAGAGATTTGGGAATTTGGGGCTATGGAAAATTTAGGGTATATGTTTGGACAGTTAGGGGATTGGGAATTGATTGATTTGGCAGTTTGGGGATCTTGAAAATTTGAGGACTATATTTGGAAATTTAGGGATTTGACATCTTGGGAATTTGGGGGTCTGGAAGGTTTAGGGACCACATTTAGAAATTTAGTAATTTGGGGATTGAAAGATTTTGACGTTTAGGGACCTTGAAAATTTGAGGACTATATCTGGAAAATTAGAGATTTGTGCATTTTGGGAATTTGAAAGTTTGGGGTCTGGAAAGTTTAAAGATTGCATTAATTTTAAGCATTCATTCAGACACTTGGAAGGTTTTTGAAAATTTGTGACTCCGACAATTTGGACATTTAAAAATTCATGAAGTTGCAGGTGCATGCCGCAACGCATCTCGACTGCAAATTTATATATCCATACCAGTAGAGCACTTTTCATAGGAGACTTACGAGCATCCCACGCAAATACGTGTTCTAGTACTTCACGATGGTCTCAAAAATTTCGAGATCATAGGTTAAATAGATTTTGGAGTTTAGCAAGGTCTTCAAACACTCGTAGCATGACTCATCCACAGACGTGAGAAAGGTTTGAATAAACGTTTGTCGTCCCTGATCCTCGGGTTGCTTTACCAGACGTTCCGACTAAGTAGTTGGGACATTTGCATAAAGACTAAAAGAGACGATAAATCACGCGACACTCATAGACACTTTTCATCGTTCTCAGTTATCTACAAGCTCAATTTCCTGTTTTAGATCGTGTGCAAGCACAATGTGGGAATTATGTACATTTGCTGGTCATTTAATTCAGTTGTATTGCGTCACTTCGATAACGTTCCTTTGCAAGGTCATTCCGACCCAGTTGACACGTTCTTGAACAAACGCTAGCAGCAGCTTGTAGCATTACGAAATCACGATAAACAGGTCAGTGATAATTGACACGGATTAACAGGCAATTGAGAATCAAAGTGGCTCCCGCGACCGGAGGTGCTCGACGTTTCATCTTCTCATCCGCTCCGGAACGCGTTTCGCGAGCAACGCGTGAGACCACGACTTATGTAAGTCCTGTCGTGTATTATTATGCGCGAACACCGTGTGTGTTTGTGTTCGCTGCACCACGCATGGAGTATCGGCACGACCTTCGCGGGAAATGCGTGCCAGTTCCAGGCACGACTCCATCTCTGGAAACGAGTTGAAAGAGTTCCGAAGCGCAACCAAATTGCAATTCGATAGGCACACTTAGCAAGCGCAGGTCTTCGACAAATAACCTTCTCGAACAGCTGTTCTTTCGCTGACGAAGCTGTTGCCAGATTGAACGTCATGTGTGATAACCGAGAACGGTGACTATGCGTTCTGCGATTGCTATTCGATCATTCAGTCAGAGGAATTATTCCGCCTCGAACGTACTTAGAGACCTCCATCTTTTTGTGTCGGTTTTAACTTGAGGTATTATCTAAACAGAACTATGAACGCACTAAGAGCTACTCCACGAAGGTTATTATGGTTTTTCAGAAAGGGAAGTATTTCCGTTTTGATAGTCAATTCCTGTGTACAGGAAGATGATCTTTTGAAGACACGAAGTAGCAATCTTTTCGCTTCATTGGTTTTAATAAATCGGTTGTCCGTTCGAAGCATCTGAAATGAGATCAGGGTGGTTTCGACATAACGGCGTTCCTCCGCATTTCGCTATTTCATTGAAATACTTTCACGTTTGCAATGGGTGGAATGTGGATGCTTCGTTTAAATGACCTTCTACATGACAGGTGTATATTGAATTTTATATGTACACATCAGTATTTATACAAGTGCCTTACAGTATACACTGTCAAGGGTTTAATGAAATAGATCAAACACTTCTGACTTGTTTCATAAAATGCGTAAACAAGGTGTAAATTCGTACATCTACATGGTGGTATGTTAATTTTATAATAGGAATTTTATTGAAGAGGAAATTGTAATATTGCACGTTTAGACTTTAGCTACATATGATCAATACGGTGTTAACACAGAAATACATAAATCGTGTTGTGATCAGTTGCTGAGAGGAATTCCAAAAAACATGTTGCGGTTGAGAACCTCTGTGTTTGATGCCTCTCTCATTCCCGTCAGACGCAGACCTCCCTTGGTCGACCTTCCGGAGGTGGTTCAAGGGGAGTAGCTTGGCCCGCAAACCTCGACGAGCTGTGCACCGAATGTTGAATCGTATAACTTGCACACGCTTCTCCTATACCCCAAGAACATTCCACCCACCCCCAGCTGAGGACCAAACGCCATTGAATGGAGTGTTTCACGGCAGACTGCCGAACTCCATACGTTTCGTGCCAGACACCACGATTTCTCTCTCTTTATTTCCTTTCCACGTCTTGTTTCTACCAATTACCATTCCCGTTTCGTCTTTCACGCGTTCCCGCACCTCGTTCGCCCAAATTCCCTACCCCGATGCGTATCTCTCCCTGCTTTTTCAATTTCTACATCTTGATCCGGGGATCCATGAAACTTCAAGTAGACATCGCTATGAATTTTACGTTTGACGATAGATTCCACGGTATATTTCCACGAATCGCCTTAAATTTTCACTGGCATCTGGTTAGAACCTCGGAGCTACTCCATGAATAATACATGCGGTGACACTGGTGTCTTAGTTTCTGATTGGTTCACCACCAGCTTCCGTAAACCGTTCCACTCGAATCCTAGCGCAGTACGACGTCCTTCCTGGTTCAACTTGCAACTTTCTACCGTTACTTCGCGCTGAATCTTTGTAATTTTGTCTGTCGATTGTCTGCTCCTATTGCCTTCAATTACGACTTGAACACCATCAATTTTAACACTTACTTTAGCTACATGAGAGGATGAACTTCTTTTTCTGGGAAGACTTCTTTTCTAGCAATATGTGAACTTCGCAGAAATTAATGTTGTCTGTGAACATTTTGGTGTTATCGAAATACTGCAATATTTTACAAACGTCATGATATAGCAATGAATTTTACAACTCAAGTTTTATTTAATTATAACTATATTTTCAGAGAAGCTTATTCTTTAAGTGTATCAGACTTTAATTCGGAACTCTGATTATCAATTACCTGACTATTCTATTCATT